GCGGGGGGGAACTGAGGCAGCATGCAAACCAAGAATCTCAGCAGGGCCAGAATTACCATTGGCTGTGTGACTTAAGTCTCTATTTCTCCATCTGTAAAATGGGGGGAAGGGGGGGGGGGTTTATCCTTGCCCCTCCATCGCTGGCTCTAGCCAGCCCAGGCTTGAGAATCTGAAGAAATGATTTTATTTATAGAAATCCCCAGGGGGTCAGGCCCCAGTCCCCCGCCCTCAGAGAACATGCTCACTCTTTCCCACTCTCTCTTTTTTGTTCTGAGACCTGGTAATTATATGCTTAGAGATGAAGGCTTTTCAAAAACATCTTTCCCACCAATTTTCAGCTGGAAACGTGCATAAAAAAACAGAGATATTTTTATCCTCGAGTTTCTTTTTTCCTATCTCCTCCTTCCAGCAATGGGCAATTATGAGCTTTTGACTTCAGTCCATCCATCCTGTAAGAACTCGCTTCAGAGGGAAATTCATTTCCGCAGTGATGCCAGCCGCCCTGGCACATGTGGGCTGGGTGAGAGGGGGGAGCAGAAGGGAGAGGCGCTGTACCCTGCACAGCCCTGTACACCTGGTCCCCAGCCCCGCTGTGCCCAGGGTGGGTGGGTGAGCTTCTTTTTTATGTCATTTCTCTTGAGGGCGTTGCTAATTTGCCTAATTATCTCCATCTCTCTGGAGCCCCAGGGAGCTATTGAGCTTTGACAAAGGAAAAAGGAAGCCAGCCCCTGGCCCACTGCCTTTGCCAGGACCCCCTAAGCCGGAGAGGGGCGTGGGAGGGGGTTGCTGGGAGGGGCTATAGACTCAGCCTTGACTGATGCTACTCTGTGGGCCTCCAGGAAGAAGTGCTCACATCTGAGAGGGGGACCCCTGAGAAAATGGATGCCCAGAGAGGCTCAACTTGGGACAAACAGGAAATGACAACATGACACCGAGCCACCTGCAAGGCCAGCCTGCCCCCATGTGCTGATGAGGGCCCCCCACTCGCCCCTGGGTCCAATTGTACATGGTGGCCGCTTGCTGACTCTCCAGGGGAACCCGCTACAGCATTCCACGTGCTCGGCCACTCCTGGCTTGGTTGACCCCACCTTTGAAGGCGTTGCTGGTTTGCTGGAAAAGGAAGGATGGACTTTGGACTTAGGCCAACTTCAGATTCTGATTCCACATCTGCTGCCAACTAATGGCTCTGGGTCAAGTCACTTCTCTCCGACCGTTGGGCGCCTCCTCTGCACGGTGGGGGTGCAGTGCCCACATCATGGGTTGGTGGGAGGAATCAATGAGACTGTACAGTACCGAGAAATCGTGAAACATGACAGTTCTCCCTTTGCCCCCTTTGTTCCCCTCATTAGAAAGGTTTTCCCAGCTCAGTAATGGTAACCACTCCTATCGATTAAATGCTGGGCCTGGTGCTATGTGCTTCATAAGCATTATCCCATTTAATCCTCACCACTTTCTGAGGTGGTATGATTGTTATTCCCATTTGAAAGATGGGAAAATTGAGGCACAGAGAGGCTTAAGTAACTTCCTACCGTAAGGAGCAGGGCCAAGATTTGACCCTAGGCCGTGGTCTAAGAACTTTAAAATTATCACCACTTTATGTGGTAGGTACCATTATCATCCCGATGTTAGAGATGGGGACACTGAGGCACAGGCAGGTTCACATGCCCAGGGTCACCCAGCTCCTAAGTTCCTGAGCGGCAGAGCCAGAGGCCCCCTCCCGTCTCTACCTCCCATCCCATGGCAGACCTGGGCAGACTCAGGGACAACGCCCATGGCCCAGCCCCAGCTCCTTTGGGAACTCTTCACAAATAATGTCCCTCTGGCCATCACAGCTGGACCAGGGCGGACAGCTGGATGGAGACGCATCGAAGCTGATTCTGCTCGAAGTGACAGCCTTACCCTCACAGCTGACCAGCCTCCCCAGAAGCCAGCTTCCTGTGGGAGGGAAGCATGGCAAGATCAACGCTGAGCTCTTTCTGTTGTATGCATGCTTTTAAGGGAAACAAGAAGGAAAAACGTCAATTAATTTAAAAAGTAGACTCCTGATTCACTTGGTACCAAGGATTGTAAGAGAAAAAGAACAGGGAAGGGGCACTGGGTGTGGAGCCCTTCCCTGTGCCAGGCCTGCTCTAAGCACTTCATCTGCCCTGAACGAGTTTTACTCCACTGAGAATTATCTGATGGTCCCAATGTACAGATGAGGAGACAGAGGCCCAGAGAGGTCACTCAGCTGGTGACTGCAGAGGAAGGACTGGAATACGGACCTGTAGGGCCCCCTCAACAGGCCACATCCTTAACCCTCGGCCCTGCTCTCTCCCTCTCCCAATAAGGGGCACCCTAGAGGCAGTGCTGGCCTCCAGGAGCCCCCACTGCTCCTCTCTCCCACCCCGGGGACAGAGCTCAGGCATCCACAGGCTAGGCACGT